CTGCTGTTGCTGCTGTGTGACGTAGTGATGAGTCCTGAGTGATCCTTTAAAAGCCCAGACACATCTGATATGGTCTTAGGGGTTTGTGTTTGGGCCAAAATCTCCTTTCTCCCTCCATCCTTACTGTTCACTTTGTTCCAAGACAAGCCAATAAAGAGACAATCAGATGTGCATGTACAATTCCTCCAAAGCACAGACAAACACCTACCCTCCTGAGAGAGGCCTCGGAATTCACGGTGACAGGATTTTCAGGGTGGACCCACTTAGCTGTAGGGGGCAGGTTGAGCCCTGTGGGGTAGGAGGTTGGTGTTCCATTGGGGTACTGCCAGAGGATGGGGTACAGACCAAGCCCTGCTGCCCCACTGTGAGCCTGGGCTAGTAGAGGGGGTGGAGGGGGACCTTGACCCTAAAAAAAGACACAGTTTTAGCTTGTTTTGGTTTCGAAAGAATGGTGTAAATAACTTTCAGCTTCAAACTTGGATAAATTGAGAGGGGAAGTAACATTATTCTCCTCTCATCCCCATCTGCCCCCAGAGATGGATTTAAATGGTGTCTGTGTACCTGTAGGAACTGCTGCTGGTGTACGTCTGCTGGATGATGCAGGCTGAGGTGGCCCAACCCGCTGGGGGAGTCAAGCCGAGGGTGGCCTCCGAGGAGAGAGGCTGCTGAAGGAGGCATTGCTGGGAGCACCCCGGGGGGTAAAAGGTGTGGGTGAGGTAGGGCAGAGGTGTGAGGAGGGGCAAGGAGGTGAGAGGCAGCGTGAGGGTGGGATGTGGGGTTGAGGCAGGGGGAGTGAGGGGAGGTGGAGTGGAGGGTGTGCAGGTGGGAATGGAGATAGGCTGCAACGTGGTTGGAGGAGACGGTGGCTGAGGCAGAGTTCTCTGCGTCTGAGCGTACCAGTGCTGGGTCTCTGTAAACAGTGAAGGTCTCGTTCTTATCGATGATCAGGGGGCTCTTTGTGCTGCTGCTGCTCGTGCTGATGCTGCCTGACTCCAACCGCACCGGCTTGAAACCAGACCGTGGAGGTTCTGCTATTTCTATTTTAGCGGACAAACGGCATGCCGGAGGTGGGGAGGTATCACAGTACCTCGGTATTTTATGTTTAGAGACCTCTGGGGAAGTGTTGGGTTTAGGTTTGGAGATGTCCAGGAGGCTTGGGTGGGGTTTAGCCTTGAGAAGGTCAGCTGGGTTTGTGTTGGGGTAGGGATGGCATTGAGAGTTATTAGGGTGTTTCTGTTTCAAGGAGTCGAGCTGACCTGGGTTGGGGTTTGGGTTGGGGCTCATTTTGGATTTGGCTAAGTCAGGGGGGAGGAGGGTGTTTATCTTGTGGGGGGGCTGTTGGGGGTGTTTTCGCGTCTCCTCAGACAGAGACGGGCTCTTAATGCTGGGGTGGAGGGATGTGTAGTGTTGCTGCTGCTGTGTGTGCTGCTGATATTGCTGCTGTTGATGGTGATGAAAAAGATGATGATGAGGAAGGACTGTTTTCTCCTTCTCCACCAGCACCACATTTTCAGCCATCGATGTGACAGGCCTGGAAAAGACAAAAATGATTTTACTTATGTACATACAAAATGATCTGTATTTACTATTATAACCTCTATCATTGAGTCTAGTGATGAGGTCACAGTCACAATCAAGTCAAGTTGATTTATATAGCCCAAATATACCCCTCAGGGCTTTAGAACTTTGATTTGGGTAAGGACAAACAGAAAAACCATTTAATGGAAGGAAGGAGGAACCCCTCTCACATTTGAATCATGTGTGCAAAAAACAAAGTGCTCAATTATTCCTATGACCAGATAAATACTAGTGTAAATTACAAGCATGCTTAAAGTACATGGCCACTTTCCATGTACTGTAATGTATATGATGTATCTAAGAAAAATGTAAACTCATGATTTCGATGATGATTTGTATGAATTGTAAAACCTGTTATCAGGTTGCTACTGATTTTGGAACCTCTATATAGCAAAAGCAGACCTTTATATCTGATATACTGTCAATTGTTTGATTGATCCTAGGTTATTGTTAGATTGATCCTTGCTCATAAGGAGCAAGCTTTTGCTATTGAGGTTTCCATTATGTTACTTGTTCCAGAAAACCACGATTCTTACAAATTCAATATTTTTTTTAATACAGTGTGCTTATATGCTAGTCTTTTTTAATTTGACTTCAGTTCCTAATCTCTCAGACCCTTATTGCCATTTAGTTAATCTTTTGTTTTTGTATTTTACTAGTTATACTACTATTTTCTCATTGCTGCAGTAATACTAATTTTATTCAGCTGACTTTAAGGCCTTTTGGTGCTATAAAATTAAAATTCAACTAATTTTTTAACATAAACGCTGGTAGTAGCAATTCAGTGTGTTTACTTGCAATAACTGGGTCAGCTGGTTTTCTCCAGTTAGATGACTCCTAAAATGTCATGTAAACAAGAAACCTAAACCTAGTTTCTTTCCAAAATAGAGAAACCAGATTACCCCCACAAAAGGTGGTGTCTTAGCTTTGTAACCATGTACATGAGTTTCTAATCAGTTTGTTACATGAGAGCCAGTACAGGACAAAGACTGCAAAAGGAAAAAATCACTCTGACAGCAGAATTAGGATCATTACACAAAGCAATGAATCCTAGGAAGCCATTGAACTTTTAGCAATTTGTAAAATTCTGTCACATTCACGATAAGGAAAAGAAGGAAGAAGTGTGCTCTCACTACAGTGTCATCTTACTGCACTGTCAGCACTTACATACACACGAAAATCAGGTGGTGTATTGAATTACTACAACAGTTAAATTAAGCAAACCATGCTTCTGGGAGACATTTTGGGGGACCGGATGGTCTATCTAATAACTACACTGCAAAAAAGAAATCTCAAGAAAGTAAAATAGTCTTGTGTCTGCGAAATTAGTCATTTTTTGTCTAAAAAGAAAAATAATCTTGTCAAGCATGTTTTGTATCAAGAAGTTATCTAGTTTTAAGAAAATATACCTTTGTCTTCATAAGATATTACAGCTAATATTGAGCTAGACGTAACCAGTAACAAGTTACAACAATGGTTTGCATTATATCCCAGCAGAGGGACAAGATTATTTTCCTTATTTTAACACTAAGACCACTTGCACAACTTCTCAGTTTAAGAGAAAGTAGTCTTGTCCTGGTAAATGAAGCAGCTGTTTAGTTTTTCATTGTTTTAATAAAGAATGCTAAAAATAATCTGGTGCCTTTATGTAAAACAAAGTCACTTATTTTTATTATGCTGTTTGAAGAAATTGTGCCTTTTTTGCTAATTGCTTAATTGCTTAATAATCATAGATTAAGGTACAAATTCTAAAATTGAGCTCAATAAAGTGATCAAAATACCTATTTAAGAGGTTTATTACTTGTAATAAGCACAACTTGCTTACATTTTTGGCATTTCTTCTAGTTTTAAGGCCCATTACAGTCTTTTAGTGGTTAGATCTTTATGCTACTTTTTAGAATTCTAGCCAAGTGAAATTGGTTTACCCCATTGGACGTGCAGTGTAGAGATGTTCCAATACAATATGATTGCTATCATTGTTGTGTTTCCTGGCTCAGGTTAAACCCTTTGTCAGAGTCAGAGTAGGGTGGGTGCTTCACTATCCCTTTCACTTGTTTTGGGGCTAATAAATTACATTGTATCTATTTTAGGCAGTATCAGAAGAATTTCTGATCCTGCTAATGGTACCGGAACAACTATACAAATAACTACACCTGACACCCAGTCATCATATCAGGAATATGATCTGTAACATTCAGAACCTGACTTTAAAAAATACACTTAAACATAATTTCTGTTCTCACCTGATGACCTCAGAGGGAGCAAACTCTATTTTGCCTAAGCTCCTGACAGCTGTAATACCACCTCCCATAATGCCCTGCTGCTGCTGCTGCTGTATGGGAGGTTCAATATCCATCCTGCGGCCCCCTTCTGATGGAGAGGGAGATGGAGGGACGGGAGGCGAGGAGACGGGGGAGGGGTTCAGGGGGAGGTAAGGTGAGAGTGACGTGGACTCAGCCTTCTGCGATGCAAGCAGCGCTGACACTGCCTCCGAACTCTCCTGGTGCACTGTTGCCTGGGCATCGTCTGTAATGTCGATTACACTGCCACCGTGGAGGGACAGCGACGGCGTCTGGGATCGAGATGACACTAATAAACAGGAATAAAAACATTACACTGTAAGGATACTAAACTTACTGATAATCATCATACATATGACAGTTATCATGCATCAGTTGACTGTACCTTTCAAAGTGTTTTTACTGCTGTCCATAATGGCGCCCTGGACGGTGTCAGACATCAGCTGAGTCTGTTGCCGTGGAGACTGGGTGATCTGTGTTACTGCGACCAATTCCTCCTCCTCCTTCGTTATCATTTTGCCTGTTTCCTTAACCACACCCTTCTTGCTGTCCTCTGTTGCTTGAAGCTCCACCCATGGAGACAGGCGACCAATGAGAGACGAGGAATCATTCATTTTGGTGCCCTGCATCAGCGGCTTCTCATCCTCCTCCTTTTTGGAAACACCACTTGGTTTGACGTCACTGCTGCTCGTCTTCAGCTCATTCTCAGAGTTGGGCTCTGAGGAGGAGGAAGAAGAAGAGGAGGAGGACGACGAAGACGATGAGGAGGAAGAGGAGCACGAGAAGTGGGCAGTCCTCTTGTGTGGGTTTTCTGAGTCGCTACTCTCTGACAGATCAGAAGCCATGTCAGTTTTGAGCCTCTTCAGACCTGCCTTCTTCTCATCTTCCTCACCCTTCCTGCGTTTGTTCACTGCCTGCTTGGCCTTTGACTTGGAGTCTGGACGAATAAAAAAAAAAGTAGAAGTAATTTTTGAATACTCACACGCAAGCCTGCTGACAATTCTTGTTAATGAATTAATTCTCTTCTTCCTCTTGACTGGAGCTTTTATAATCTGTTGAGGTGTTGTTTATTACTATTACAGTAAGAAAAAATCCCTCTAGAGAATAATTTTGGCCAATGTAAGCATCCCATCATATGGTTAAACAGGTCTAAATTCAAATCCCAAAGTGTCAATTTCTGCATTTTAGTTACACTACTGTGTGAACAGGCTGTATCACTCAAAAATGTTCACTTCAAGTTAACCTCTGTGTACATCAGCAAACTATGTAAATCAAAAGTGGAGGTAGACAGGCCAGAAGGAAAGAAAAGCAAAAAATATTCAAATATGACGCAGTCACCAAAATGGGAATAAATAAAGTTGTCTTTTTGTACAGTAATCAGTTACTCAGTAAGTGAGGTCCGACCCCCAGGGTTACCCTCTGCTCTGATGGCGTCTACCGCACTGGGCACTGCCCTTCTGTAGGCTTCTGCAGGTTGGCCAATAAGAAGAAAGTGGGCTTTTAGGGAGGGGGGCCAAATAGAGACACAAGCTAAAATGGCTTGTTTCTGGCAGGATGAACTGATGGGCTGCATAAGTTGGCCAGTTTTACTGTGAAATATGCTAAGCTACCACAGTCCCAGAATAAAAAAAAGTTGGAAATAATAAGCCTCTGTAAGAACAACATACTCCGGGTGGCTGTGGCTCAGAGGGTCGTCCACTAATCGGAAGGTTGCTGGTTCGATCACCTCCCAATGCATGTTGAAGTATCCTTGAGCAAAATACTGAACCCCAAATTCCTCCAGATGCTGAGTCATCGGTGAGTTAATGTGAATGAATGACTGTTTCTGTTCGATGGGCTTTGCCATCACTGTATGAATCTGTGTGAATGTGGCACATAGTGTAAAAGCACTTTGAGTGGTCGTAAGACTAGAAAGGCGCTACACAAG